GAATTTTTAAAAACAATTATAAAATATACTGTATACTGCTGCTTCTTTGAAATACGGGGTATACCTGGCCAGTAGATGGCAGCAAAAATATAAACACCCCTCTTTGAAAATGGAATAGTTACATAGCATCTTTAGACTAGTAAGAAAAGTCATTCATCTGGAAATCATCTTAATTAAACAAGGCATGACTGCGTATTTTCTCATCTCATAAGTCAGTATTCAAGAGTCTTGAACTAGGCCAATAGGTACGCAACAGTGGTGGGTTTCAAAAAATTTTGGAAGCTCTTCTGTAGGTGTGGCCTGCTTTCCGGCTCCACTGGTGGAACCTCTTCTAACCGGTTCGGTAGATTTGACGAACCGGTTCTACCAAATAGGTGTGAACTGGTAGGAACCCACCTCTGGTACGCAATAATGCAAAAGTCAGAGACGAATCTACAAAGTCAGAGACTTCTAAAGATTTTTACATCCATAATATTTTATTTTTGAAGATGTAGCATAGACTGTTTTTTAAGTATGCATATTAATACTGGTGACTGTATTTTCTTATCATTTTTGTTCACTTAAAAGAACACTCCCTCCCCCTTACTAAAAAAAAAAAAGTCTGCTACTTAAAATCTGAAATGGAGATCTAGTTGGCAAGAAGTTAGGTTCTTTACAGAAACATTCTGACTTCCTTAGTAGTCCTAAAAGAAAAACGAACAAGGGCAATTGGGAATAAAAATGCTAATAAATTCATTCAGAAAAAAAAATCTATTTTAAACTGACCTGATCAATGGGTATTTCCACTTTAACATTTTTGTCTTCTTGAATCTCACGAGCTCCTTCAATTTCTGTCGGGGATTTATGAGCTATATAGACACTATGCTCTGAAAATAAATTAATTAAAAAAACTGTTTATCTTACTCTATGAAACCACTAACATAAACATTGTACACTATAAATGACAACTGCAGCTACATTATTTTTGCTAAGCGTTATTTGTAGCTAAGAGATATTTGAACCTCATTTTTTTAAGCAACAATTGTCTAATAATAATTATTAGGGTTAGTATTTTTTTACATTAAAGAATCATCCTTATTAGTAAATGAGTAAGCAAAAAGAGATATTATTCAGCTTCAGAAGCATGAATTGATAAATAATAGAAATATTTAAATTCCTAAATTTTTAGTTGCCTGCTACAAGTTGTTCAGCTTTGTTTTGTATGTGTGGTTTCAATTAGTATTTCAAGGCAAATTGATCCAATATGGGCTGCCTAAAACCCAAATGCACACAAAAAAGGAACCACTGTAAGCTTTGAATTTTTGCAACTATTTTCTAAAAACAAAGAACCAAAATGAGTATAATAAAAAAACAACAAAAGTACACACATCAGTGAAAGTGCATTTGTTCATTGCAATAAGAAGGTTCCTATTAGAAAAACACACACTGTGTTTTAAACAGTTATTAATTTTTCAATATTGCGATAGTATAATGTAGTACTTTAGGGGGCATCATCTTACACTTTTAAGGAAAAAATACTTGAGCATTATCCACTTTGTTATTTCATTACAACTACATTTATTTTTTGGTGCCTTTAAATCTGAAGAGTAATTCCTGAGTTTTCTTGGCAACGTTTTTTTCCAGAATTGGCTTGCCACTGCCTCTTTTCCAGGTCGGAAAAACTTAGGGCCCAAGGCTACCCAGCTGAGTTTGTGTCTCTGGTGGGAAGAGTTCAAGTTCTCCCGAATTCTAGTCTGATCCCTTAACCAAACTGGCTCTCTTCATGTGGATCTACTGAGGCATAAAGAGAATGAATGCATCAACAACGTCGTCTAACATGTGATGTACCAATATGAGAGAGTTGCTGCCCCTTTAGTTTCAGTTATTAGTTGTACCACTCTTAACTTTGATAACTGCCTCCAAATATTCAGTCCTTCACATCACTAAGTAGGAATGTTAGCCAATTCTCCATGGCAAACTGCTTCATTTCAGTAGCATTTGAAGGTTTTCTAGTGTGACCCATTCACTTCAGTGCCTGCTGTAACATTTGAGTGGTGTTTATGACTTTGATACTTTTCACTCCAAAACAATTAGTTTGTTTTTCTTTATCCATGTTCTTGGAGACTTACTTGTATGTTTGGGATCACTACCTCATGGTTTCCACTTCGTTTAGGAGACATATTAATCTAATATTCTTCTTTGTAATCTTCCAAAACAAACAGAATTCCACTTCCTTTAAATAGTGGCACATCCAGATTCTGAAGCAGCAAAGCGTCCCTAAATTATGATGATCTCTATGATTGATAAGTGGTATGATATTCTTCTTGTGGAATACTATGCTTGGTGTCCAATAGCCATAACCTCATGTAGCTTCAAAAGTTGTACTTTTGATTCATCTGTCCACAGAACATTGCTTCACAAGTCTGGAGTCATCCAGATATTTTTCTTCCGAACTTGAGGTGAGCATTAATGTTCTGTTATGAGCCATGACTTCTGTCTTGCTATTCTCGCATGAATTTCATGTTTTCTCTGTTTGTTTTCTTTTTGTGATGTTGGAGTTCTATAAACTCATTTTAACAAAGGTTAGAGAAGACTGCAAGTCTCTGGATATTGTTCTGTGGTCCTCTGTGACTTTCTGAACAATTTTATGCTCTTGGAGAGATTTTGACAGGATAGCTGTTCCCTATTGTTCCAAATCTTTTCATTTTAAAACCATATCTTGGACTATAGATGGGTGGATTCCAAAGCTTCATATAAGATTTTGAATTTTTTCCACAGAGACAGGTATCAATATTATTTCTATGGAAGTCTTCGGGAATTTCTTTTGAGTATGGCACAATGTGCCACTAGCAAAAATCAAAGTTTGTGTAAGATATGTAAAGCTGGATCAAATCAGCTGACAATTTACTGAAATGCTTGTCGGTCCTAATTAACTCTTTAACTACATCAATCAAATTACAAGAAGAGGGGTTAACTTTTTCACTCTGATAAATTACATGTCAGATGACTCTGTTTATTTAAAAAAATGAAACAAATTTGAAACCTTTGGGTGATTTATTCACTCAAATTCCCTTTTCATGTGTAATTTTGATAAAAGCGGCAGCAGAAATATGCAAAAATCCAGAAAATCAAGAAAAGACATACTTTTTCATATAATTAAGCACAAATACACAATCATCAGATAGGTTTATCCCAGAGAAGAAATGAGAGCATTTTAAGATACAAACGATTCCAAAATGTATCTGAAATTTTAATGTAATTCATCTTTGAATCTTAAAATGGATATTTTTCATTTGTCAACTTCCGGTTCCTAACATGAGCTTTGAAGTAAGTGAATATGGGATCTAAGCCATTAATAAGTGAAATTTGGCAATGAGTTTTATGGCCAAATTTCAATGGCAAATGAGAAGCGTCTGAAGAGGCTACCAATGTTGTGCAAAATATAATGAGAATTTTTTGCTACACAATTCTTAAAGAATGATGATATTACATATTTTGAGAATTAAAGTATAACTAAATCAACCTTGTAGCTCTAAGTAGTCACTTAAACTCCTCAAGAGGTGCCTATACTAAGTGTAAATTGTGAGGTTCTTTTCTTTCTTTGCACAACTGATTTTAAGGGAAAAAATTTAAAGAGGTATGAACAAGAATTAATATTCTTGAAGAGCAAATTCTTCTGTTGAGCTTATAGAACTAACTGTGAAGTGTGTAAAAGCGAATGTTGCATTTGGAGACAATTGTTTTGCAATTACTGTCACATATAATTTAATCAAAATAGTTTGACGTAAGCACCAATTATATTTATTTCTCAAGCACAAGAAGAATATACAAGTACAATTACAAAGGGCCTTTTCCCACTGTGGTCTATCCATCCCTTCAGAAAGAATATTGTGTGAAAATTTCTGTTTTCACTGGCAGTCCTTATCTTATATCTGTTGTCCCTGTTCCTAATCATTGCCAATATTTGACTCCTCTCCAAAGCAGTGTTTCTCAATCTCAGCAATGTTAAAGTATGTGGACTTCAATTTATTTGTAGTTTATTTATTTATTCATTCATTCATAAATTTTATTGGCCGCTCCACTTACCATAAGATAACTCTGGGAGGCAGAGACAGACATAAAAAAAATATATCTACCTTAAAACAAGAATAAATTAAAACCAATATTAAAATCAAGGATACGTGGGGAGGGCCAGGGTAGAATGGGGAGAGGTAGAAACTGTTGTTACTTGATCAATCACTAATCAATCAACAATGCTGTTCCCCCATTGGGGCTCCAAGCCAACTGGCAGGGCCAGGTCTTTAGGCCCTTACGAAGGGCCCTCAGGAAAGAATAGGAGGGCTGGGGCCACATTGGAGGGGGGCAAGATGTTCCAGAGGGCAAAAGGAACAGTAGAGAAGGCCCTCCTCCCGGACCCCGCCAGCCAGAATAATCGGGCTGAATGAACCCGCAGCATATCGCCTCTTGCCAGCATGAGTGGGATGGGTCAATCCCAGTGTGGTGAGATGCTCCCTCAAGCAACTTGGACCCATGCCATGAAGGGCTTTAAAGGTCATCACTAACATCTTGAATTACTACCCGGAAGCAGACCGGCAACCAATGCAGCTTTTGGAGCAGTGGTGTTATAGGGGCTACTCTTGGGGCCCCCAAAACTGCCTGTACCAGTGAACTCTGCACCATCTTCGTCTCTGAATGCTCTTCAAGGATAGCCCCATCTAGCTCTCATTACAATAGTCCAACTATGAGATGACTAGGTACTGAAGAGCCAAGGTGGCGCAGTGGTTAGGGTGCAGTACTGCAGGCCACTTCAGCTGACTGTTATCTGCAGTTCAGCGGTTCAAATCTCACCGGCTCNCTGGCCCCCTCTCTGCCTCCGACACAGAGCCCTCATCAGAGCCTTCCCCAGACTCCAGGACTGGCCCATGTTCCTCCCCAACCCTCCTCACTGTCCGAATCTGCTGCCAGCTCCACTGGCCGCTGGCAGGACACAACGAGCATTTCTGAGATTCTGAGCTGTCATACCTTATTTCCTTTCTCAATTCATCCTCCGCCGTTTTGTTTTCTCCCGGGTTAATCTTTGCCCTGAATTTTCTGAATTTCAACATTTCTCCTTCGGTCTCCTGGCGCTTCAGTTGCTTCTGGATTCGGTTCGTTAAGGTGCTCCAAGGCACGGCTAAAGACACCGTCCTCCTTGCCGTTTTGACCGGCACGTCGTACAAGGGCTGGGCGCCGGAGTCCTGCTCAGAGGTCATCGCCGAGAAATTGGCTTTTGGGGAAAGAGGTTGACGGATCTTAAAACGTTTTGCTTTGGGGGACGAAGTGGCTTGTCTAGCAAAGCCGTCGCCTTCGCTCTGGTTTGGTTCGGAGGGCCAGAAAACCCCGCCAGATCCACCTTCGCTGCTCTGGATTTCGCCGCTAAAAAGACGGGGTTCTCCACCGGAAGAACCCGCAGCGCTTTCGGTTCTAAAGTGGACAGCGGTTTCTGGGGTTCTGCTCAAACCCCCATCTGACTCGGCGGAGATGCTCCCCAAACCAGAATCCGTATCTTCGTCCGATTTCTCCAACTTCCGGCCTGCAAGCGGGGAATTCCTCCCATCCACCTCGCTTCCATCTTCAGATTCCTCATGGAGAAGAATTTTCTTTCGGGAAGAGGCTGAAAAACCGGCGAACATCTGGAGCAGTCCTTGACTGGCAGGCACATGATTTGGTTGGGCTTTCTTGGCCTCCTGAAAAGCAGGTGTTTTCCCCCGAGAAAAGGATTCCTTCAGACGAGCAATTATTTTCGATTTCTCGTCCCGATTTGGAGGCAAAGGACAGGCTGACGTTTCCAAGGGGGACGCATCTCTCTCGTTTTGGAGGAAACTTTTCATGGTCCCTGCAAAAAAAAGAGAGAACCGGTGTGATTTACTTAGTACAGATAGTCCTCGACTTACGACCTCAATTGAGTCCACAATTTCTGTTGCTAAGTAAGACGGATGTTAAGTGATTCCCCCCTCCACTTATTTTACAACCTTTCTTGCCGCAATTGTTAAGTGAATCACCGAGGTCGTTAATTTAAGTGAATCTGGCTTCCCCATTTGCTGGTCGGAAGGTCGCAAAAGAGGACACTGCAACCGTCATAAGAACGAGTCAATTACCAGGTGTGTGAATGCCAACCCTGAAGCTGACCTAACCGAAGGCGCCCCCCCCCCCCTTCCACGGGAAGTTCCTCTCAAAATTGTGGTGCCTGTTGTGTTCCACCGGATGCGGCCAGCAGATGGTGCTGTGTGAAGCGTCTCTGATTGGTCAAGACGCACCTGCCGGCCGGCGGGAAAAATGNGAGAGGAGGGGGAAGACAGGGAAAGGAGGAGAAGAGGGAGAAGGAAGGAGGAAGAGGAAGAGAGGGAAAGGAGGAGCAGGAGGAGGAGGGAGACAAGAAAGAGAGGAGGAGGAGGAGAGAGAAAGAGACAGGGAGAGGATGAGAGGACAGGGAAAGAAGGAGGGAAAGGAGTTGGCGGAAAGAGACAAGGAAGAGAAGAGGAGGAAGAGAGGGACGGGGAGAAGAGGAGCAGGAGGGGAACAGGGAGGGAGAGCAGGAGAACAGAGAAGGGACGAGTAGGGGAGCAGGGACAAGGAAGAGAAGAGGAGGAGAGAGAGAGACAGGGAGAGGATGAGAGGACAGGGAAAGAAGAAGAGCAGAGGACAGGGAAAGGAGGAGGAGGAGAGGGACAAGGAAGAGAAGAGGAGGAGGGGAACAGGGAGGAAGAGGAGGAGGGGAACAGGGAAGGGAGGAGGAAGGGAGGTCAGGGACAAGGAAGAGAGGAGGAGGAGAGAGAGAGACAAGGAGAGGAAGAGGGGGACAGAGAGGAGGAGGACAGGGAAAGGAGCGGGAGAAGGAGGAAGAGAACAGGGAAGGGGTGAGAAGGGGGGATAGGAAGAGGAGGTGGAGGAAGAGGAGGAGGAAGGAGACAGGGAAGGCAGGAGGACATGGAAAGTAGGAGGAGAGGAAGAGGTGAAGGCGAGGAAGAGGAGAAGGAGGAGGAAGGTGACAGCAGGAGGAGGAGGGAGGATGTGGTGGTGGTGAGGGAAGTGGGGGATCACCAACGGTGGCTGCTGTTTGAGTGAAGGAAATGAAGAAAGTGTAGAAGAAGTTGCTTATCTTAGTTTAAACCAACCAATGAATCTTAATCTTACAACACTCCTATTTTCTGGAGCGGAAGGCACATAGAGACTTCATAATGTATTGTTTTCACTCATCTACATCAGTTTTCTTAACTCCAAGACTGAGCCTTTAGGCTGATGTTGAACACATGAACACTGACAATGTTTTGAACTACAAACCTTCATTATTTCTCTTCTAATTTTTCTTATTTTGAGATACAAGAGTGGAATTGTATCATGATTGATAAGGTTCTCTAAATCTAAACAGACAAATGAGGAAAGATGTATATTTTCCAGAAGGCTATTTAGATTCTTCAGCAAAAACAGTCCTTTTAAAGAAAAAAAAACAAGGTGGAAAAAGACGAGAGACCACACACACACACAAAAAAAACTTACAGGTAGATCAAAACTAACTTGAAATCAGAACTAAAGACAGGCAAGGAAGCTAAAGCTGAGAACGGCATGGGGTGAGACGCCAAATGTAACAAAAAGAACTTCTTTCAATATGTTCAAAATAAAAAAGACGAGAGAGAAATCGATAGGCCAGATGCTCAATAAACCCAGAAAACTATCGAAACAGAGAAAAAGTCAATCCCTACTTCCTTCTAGCAAGTGAAAATGGGTTTCATTGGGGAACTGGGAAAAAGAAGGTGAAGGGGATGCATTAAAACTTGCAAATGAAAGGGGAGAACTGAAAATATTCTAGAAAACATCAGGTTTCAATGAAAATAAGACCTCCCTGGATAATAAGCCCAATTGGGCTGTTGAGTGCAGGCACGAAAATAAGCCCTCCCCAAAAATAAACCCTTCCCTAAAATATTTAACTGCATGCGCAGCAGAGACCAGCCATTTTCTGGGGGGGAGGGTGATGCTCCACGCATCCATCTTCAGGGGTGGGTTTCAACCGGTTCGCGGCGGTCCCTGAGATCCGGTTGGTCGCCAAACCCGGAAGTAAGTAACTTCCGGGAACAGCGAAGGGGCCCCCCCGCGCCCCCGCGCCCGCCCGCTCCTTACCCGGTTTTGCCGAATTCTGCGCTTCCACGCATGCGCAGGACGCATACAGCGCCTGCGCGATCCTCCAGGAGCAGCTGGAGCATCGCACAGATGCTAGTACGCATGCGCGCAGCGCGCGCGTGCACGCACGCACCACCGCATGTGCAAGGATGCCGCCAGCCTCGTTCCAACCGAACCGGTTGGAACGGGGCAAGAAACCCACCCCTGTCCATCTTGCACCTGCCAGTGGATGCCGCGTCCGCAAATCCTAGCTACTGTGCCCCTTCTCTTACTGGCAGCTGCCAAAAGAGCAGCAGGCCCAGTGGCGCTAGGGCTGGTAAGAATGTGCCAGAAACAGTGAATGCTTCCTTTGCATTGAAAGTATATTTTAATAAATGTGGGACATCTCCACTAAACCCGTGTCTTAACAGTCTAGAGCAGTGTTTCTCAACCTTGGCAACTTGAAGATGTCTGGACTTCAAGTCCCAGAATTCCCCAGCCAGCGAATGCTGGCTGGGGAATTCTGGGAGTTGAAGTCCAGACATCTTCAAGTTGCCAAGGTTGAGAAACACTGGTCTAGAGCAGCCCGTGTCTTAACAGTCTAGAGCAGACCCTGTTTAATAGTCTAGAGCAGGGGTGTCAAACTCAAGGCCCGTGGGCCAGATACGACCCACAATGTGTTCGGATCTGGCCTGCGAGCACGGCCACCCTGGAAAATGTAAGGGGCCGACCCACATCGTGTTGGCCCCGTTTACCCCGTAGGAAGAGGAAACATGCCAGCAGTTTGGGGAGTGGCGTCAATCTGGCTATGCCCACCCAGTCAGCCACCCCAACTCTTCCCCTCACCCCCAAGGTCAACCACAGCCCTGATGCAGTCCTCAATGAAACTGAGTTTCACACAGGGATGGGCTACTGGGGATTCGCAGCAGTTCGGGAGAACTTCTAGCTAAAATTCTGTGCAGTTCGGAGAACCCCCAAAGCTCACTTCTGGCTGGCCCCACCCACCCCGCCCCTCCCTGGAGTCCCCACGCAGCATGTTTTGGATGCAGGTAAGTGCTGGTCCCATGCAGCGGCTTGGGGAAGGGTGAAAAATGGGCCCACCGGAAGTTCGGGAAGGTCAGAAATGCACCCGTTTCCGGCCTCCAGAGCCTGGGGAGGCCGTTTTCTCCCTCCCGGAGGCTCGAAAAAACCTCCGGAGCCCGGGAAAGGCAAAACTCCCCCCTACCTCCACCATGGTGCAAGAGGCCGAGTTGGCCACACCCACCATTGCCACACCCACCCAGCAACCGTGACCCAACAAATGCGCGCACGACAATAGTGTGCCGACAAAACCGCAGCGAGAACACTGCAATGTCATAAACGTGCCCACAACAACGCGCCAACAAAAACGCGCCCACAAAAGCGCGATTTAAGTTAGGGTTAGGGTTATTACGTTGTTTTCGTATGGCGCGCTTTCGTCGGCACGCATTCGTCGGCATGCTTCTATGTGCATTCATCGGCGTGATTTCGACCTCGCAGTTTTCTCGCCGCAGTTTTGTCGGCACGGTTTTGTCGAGCGCGCATTTGTCGGTGAACCCCCAGCAACCAGACAGAGAACCCCGTGCTAAATTTTCTGAAGCCCACCCCTTGTTTGACACCCCTGGTCTAGAGGAAACTATAATGTATATTGCAATCAGTGGCAACATACAGCTTCAGCAGAACAGGGTAAAATATAATGAAATCTGTTATTTCCTGTTGCAGACATCCAGTCCAAATGGCAATGGGGAAGAGAAAAATGATGAAACCATGTGCTGCAACGCCTTGACACTGAACCCAAGGGCTTATGGCACAGAGTTGTGAGGCCGCCGTGTATGTTTCTTCACCATCCGCTCTATGGCGGGTGCTCGTTTCTGGACTCTCTCCTGAACACAAAACCTTTCTTCGTTGCCGCCGCCCACCCACCCACCCACCCACCCCTTGCTCAATTCTGAATCCTTTCTCCGTCGCTGGAAGTCATGGCGTACACATCGAAACATATTTAAACAATAAAAAGCAGACATTTGCACAGCAGAATAGGTGATGGTTTGCTACAGCGAAGGCAAACACCCAACTTCTGCAGAGCTCGGCTACCTTGTAATAACCCAACGAAATCTGGAAGGTTCGCGCAACCCGCTTAGCATCCGAGACCAAAGCAAAGGAAGACAATCCGTTGACGGCAACTTGGGAGGCTGCTTCACAGCTACAAATAGAACATCGCGGTGGAACATATGCAGCAGCATCTCACACCTCTGCCTTTCAAGCAATGCCGCATTTTTATCCCTCACAGTTTTCACGCTGCTTGTCTTCCTTCCAAGCCCCTACTTAATGCTCGTGGCGCCAAGTCCTTCGTTCTCGATGTCGGAACTGGAGAAGGAGGCACGTGGCTCTCTCCCAATTAATACGTTAGCAGCTCCCGCGAATGATTGGGTTCCACCACAAAACCGCGGTAGACTAAAGCGCGCTTGACGAAAGCGCGTACCTGACATCATCACAGCGCGGCAAAAACATCACGCTGTGAGCGGTAAAGTTAAAATTAACACGAAAACCTTACCCTAACCCCCCCAAACCTAACCCTAAACCTAACCCTAAATCTCACCCTTAACCTAACCCTAACCCTAACCCTAAACCTAACCCTTAACCTAACCCTTAACCTAACCCTAAACCTAACCCTTAACCTAACCCTAACCCTTATCTTTACGTGAATCAGCTTGCTTTAAAAGCGCT